AGAAGGCCTGAGGAAGAGGGCTGGCCAACAGGGACATGGGATGGAAGGCAGGAGAGGAAAGGCCTCCCGAGTTTCACCCAGTCGGTGGTTCTACCCCTTCAAGCTGCACCCCCTCCCCAGCTCTAAAACTTCCTGTGTGAGGAAAGGTGCTTTTGACAGAACATAGCATCACATCTAAGAGTAGCTAAGAGCAAGAACATTTATTCAAGTGTGAACAATTCGTAAGTCAGTGGTTGCAGGTACACTGGCTCGGAGTCAGCCGTCTCCTTCCCCTGCTGATCACAAGATGGCTGTCAGGGTTCCAAGCTTCGTGTTTTCACTCAGCAGCACCTAGACAGAAAGGGAAAAGGGAGGCCAAGAAAGCTGCCAGCACATCTCCGGCAAGGGAGCAAAGCAGGCCCTAAAACCACGCTTCTAAGTCCCACACCATTGAAATGAGCTCACAGGAGGCCTCAAACCTGCACCTTCTCTTATCTGTAAGACTCACTATGTCCTGCCTAAGCTCTGGGGCGTCTGAAAACTACTCCCTGACAGCCCCACGCCCGCACACTGTTTAAAGTTCGATTCTGGTTACCTCTGACTCTAGGGAATCTATTTGCCCCTTTCTTCTTTCCACCTTGTGTTCACAGCTGCTCTGTCTTCCCTGCTCTGGCCCCTCCCCCATACATTAGGAATCGTGAAAATACCAACATTCCATTCTGCAACCTTAATAATAACATTCGCTCAGTGCAAAAACTGAATATCGATGAAAAACTTCTGTATTTCCTGTGGGTGCCTAGATACATATTTACAAGTTTTTAGAAAGGTCTAGAGAAGCAGACACCAGGCCCATCACAGTGGCAGCCGCTGGGGAAAAGAGAGGGAATGGGATGGAAGCAGGTGGCCAGAAGGGACTCCAGCTCCAGCAGCGGTGCTCTGGTTCTTAAAAAGGGGGATGTATTCATGTTTTGCCTATGTCATTAAACTTTAATTTGAAAAAAAATTTCCCATTCATTTTCAGCCAATTACTCTGGCTCTGTGCTTGGCTGTGTCTGTGTGTTTGTGCCCCGGGAGGAAGAACATTTACTTTGTGTGTGTCTGTGAATGAAGTGCAGCGATTAGAATGTAGATTAAAAAGAAATGTAGCAAACAAAACGGGAGGGGGGCGGCAAAAACTCATTCACAATAATGGAAACCAAAGAAATAAAGCCACCGGCTTCTCAGGAGAGCTTTGCGTGGAGACTGTGGCCACCGGACAATGCGGACTTCGGCCTGGCAGACTTCAGCCCGGCCTCCGCAGTGAAAGGCACAGCGCTGCACTGCTGTCAGGTTCCCTGGTGTTGGTCTCTGAATTCACAGTATTTGACAGGCAGCTTTTCAAATCTGCATGGAGGAGTGAGCTGAGACAGCTGCAAGGAAGCACGGCGAAAAGTGGCATTTTACGTCACAGATATCAAAAGGTGAGAAAAAGAAATGTCAAATTAAAGTCTGGTTCTTTAATTTGGTTCTGACAGGAATAAACAAATTAAACACACACACACTCACACACACCGAAACAAGCCAACCAACCCAGGGTCCTCAAAGCCACCTAGCAGTGGGGTCCTTATTCTAGAGGGAGCATCATTTCAGGGTGGCAGAGAAAGGATGAACAAGCTGGTCTGTTCTATTGTGTTCCAATAATTGGCTGTCCGTTTTGAGAAAGGTTAGATGCTGTCTCAATTCAATCATAGAAATATATTCCTGATGCAAGAAGGAGCCAAGAATAAAAACTGTGAGATGACTAGAAAAGAATAAAGGTTCCATTTAAACCAAACATGATATATATTAAAAAAGGAATAAAGGAGATTGAGGAAATGCATTTGAAAATTTGGTGGCTTCTGTCTAACACAAGAGTCTACAAAGGGCTGAAAGCAACAGAAATGCTAGAAAAAAATTATTTGCACAAAAGCACAAAAGCTTACTGTCCAGATTACATCAGGACGTTCTGCAGGCCAATGAACTGAAGAGCTTCATGCAAGAATAGACAGGCCAGAGCAGGAATAATACAGACGCCCAATGTACAGATGGAAACCTCACTGGCAAAAAGGGAGATATAAATTTAAAAAGGGATTTAACTTTTTCACCCATCCAGTTGGCAAACATTGAGAACTGCTCACAGTGTAGGGATTAAAGTCTCACAGCCTCTGGCTAGACGCTTGCATGGTACAGAAACCATGGAGGGCACTGGTGAAGTCTGCTAAAATTGAAAGCGCGCAGAGCCAGCGTTCCACTTTTCCATCACTGCCAAGAGAAGGCTGCTCAAAGAACCAACTGATGGTGGAGTCTGGAGATAGAGAATGTGAGAACTGGGGATGAGCTGTGTCAGAGGACAAGAGCATTAGGAACCAGCATGGCTGTGTTGTGAAGACACTAGAGTGAGTTCAGACCAGGAGCCTCTGGCAAGCTCTCAGCATGGTGGACTCATTCAGAGAACTCGCATGGATTTCACGCATGCCTAAGCAGCAGATACACAAAGCTGTGGAGGGAGGGGATCCAGGACTTTGGCAGAGGAGACAGCAGCTGGGTTCACATCATTCCACCTCTAAACGGAAGAATGTAGTCATGCTTTGCTTGCTTAATTAAAGTGTAATTTGGAAAGATTCTAATTTGTTTTCAGCTAATTATGCCAGTTATGTTTGGTGGTGCTTGTGTGTTTGTGCCCAGGGAGGAAAAACGTTTACTTTTTGTGTTTGCAGAGCAAGTCCGCTGATTAGTGAAAGGTTGGGATGGACCGTGGAGAACACGGGTCAAGTAAACAGAAGCAGAGAGCTGTTAGCAAAACCTTAAGTACCTAAGAATAAACCAAGAAGTAGGCAAGACTGCCACCAGAAGAAAAATACCAAACTTGTCGAAAAGGCAGAGATGCCTTGAACTGAAACTTGCCCATTTCCCTCTCAGATTCACCCACAAATGCCCTAAAATCCCAGCAAGGTTTTAAGGCTTAATTAGCCGGTTCAAAAATGTAAACTGTGTGACAAATCTACACGATCAAGATAATGCTACAACACCAACAGAGTGGATTGCCTTCACTGTTATCAAAGCAACTCTCTCGGGGCAAACGGATGACTTGGAGAGAAAAAGTGAGGCACAGCTGGGAGCTATGTCAGACAAGTGAAGTAAGCCAAAATCACTAGAGGAAATGACAGCACAGGCAGCAAGTTGTACTGGAAAATGTAGTCACTCATTTTGAAACGTACTGAAAATAAACAGCTATTCTACACTCTAAATAAGCTTTGCCTGCAGTAATGTGTTAGGTGTGAAAGCTGGAAAATAATTTTAAGATACAAAAGAAAAGAAACAGGAAAATTTCAGGGAAAAAAGTGGGAAAATGATTGTGAGGCTGGTAAAGGGAAGACCTTCAGAAGGATACGGGGCCTACAGTGCTACCACTTGGGAGGGAGAAGCAGCAGGATCAGGAAATCAAGGCCATCCTTGGTTATACAGTGAGTTTGAGGCTAGCCTGGGCTACATGAGATCTTGTTTAAAGAATCAAAACCAACCAAAAACTTCACACAGTGGATGGTTCAGGCCACAGAGTTTCTGGAGCCTTTAAGTTCTCTGTTGTGCTCGTTTGACTGAGGGAAAAACTACCTCAGGACAGTGGTGTTTGAAAGGAAAAACAGAACACAGGTGAGTCTGACCCAGTAGAAGGTAAATGACCCTTAACATGTAACACCATGGCACGGCCACAGCCATTCCAGATACCCCCGTCACTAATAGATTGTGTGCCACTCTGAAAAGAAGTCCCTGACGCTCTGAACAGAGGCTTCCTTGGGGAGAAGGCCCCAGTCTCAGGTGGCAGCTGGGTTCACATCATTCCACCTCTAAACGGGAGAATGTAGTCATGCTTTGCTTGCTTAATTAAAGTGTAATTTGGAAAGATTCTAATTTGTTTTCAGCTAATTATGTCAGCTATGTTCAGTGGTGCTCAAGTGTTTGTGCCCAGGGAGGAAGAACGTTTACTTTGTGTGTGCGGAGAAAGCCCGCTGATTAGTGAAAGGTTGGGATGGACTGTGGAGAACACGGCTCAAACAAACAGGAGCAGAGGGCACCCATCCAGAGCTGCTGGGAAACCCTGTGAAGGGACCGAGGGTCAAGTTCACCAAGAAACAGAAGGCAAGCTGACCAGAGGAAGCGGGCATCTTCTCTGAAGGGACAAGGTGCCTGGGGCTGGGAAGGTGCCCTGAGCACACAGGAAAGGGGCTGACTTGCTTCAGGTTTATCTGTGAGTTCAGGGAAACTCCAACACAATTTCCTAGCAAAAGTTCTCTTGAGACTTCATTTTAAAATTCATGAGTAGGACCAATGTGTAATGATGACAAAAGCAGTTCTACAAAACAGAGGTGGTGAGTGGGTCCTACCCTGACCCATCAGGCCTGGGAGCAGAAAGGCACAGAGGAGCAGGGACTGCCAACACGGCACACGGGGCCAGCAGCTTTGGTGCCAGGTAAAGGGAGCAGCTTCAGATGAAACTGTCTACATTCCACAAAACAGTGCTGGGGCGTGACAGTAGATGGTAAGGTATGGAATTTATTCTTTATATATGATGTGAATATATATTTATAAACTATATATAAACATAAATATTTATGTAAGAGAAGAAAATACAAGAAAAATACCTTGAAATTAATATAAAGGCTTCTTAAGATTGCCAGAAGATGTAAAAGTAAAACCAACAGACAACTATATCAAGAGCTCAAGTTTTTCTAAAAGCAATTCAATTACACGGAAAAAAAAATCACAATATAGAAAAATATTTGTCACTACTGCACTAGTATATAAAATTCATGAAGTATATAAGGACTAAAAATCACTGAGAGATAAAATAGTTTTAAAAGAAAGAAAAAAAAATGGGCAGGATGTGTCTTACCTGTAATCCTAGTACTTGGGAGACTAAGGCTGGAATGTGAGGCTAGGATTCACAGTGAGACCTTGTCTCAAAAAATGAAAGAGAAAGGGAGATGGGTGGGAGGGAGGGAAAGAAAGAGAGAGAAGGAGAGGGAGAACGAGGAAGGACATGGATGCACAGTCCATGGATGAACTAGGAGGGAAACTAAAGCTTTGGCTGTGACGGGATACAGACAACACCCACTAACCGGAGACAGTATTTTTACTCATCCAACTGGTAAAAAATGCTAGACTTGGAGATGTTTTGGCTGGAGATTGAACTGGGCGCTTTGGAGAACACTAGTCATTTTTTAGCTGAATTCACGACATGGATTCCCTGTGACCCAACAATTCCAAGTACTTGTCCTCCAAAAATACTTGTATGTGAGCAAAAGAGGACAAAACAAGGGTACCACCAAAAGCATTTTAACAGTCAATCAATAGGAAACAAATGAGGCAGAAGGTGGCAAGGCCTGGTTGCCGCTGTGTGCGGCCAGCCGAGTGGAGCACGCGGTTGAACGGAGATGCAGACAGCCACTCAAGGCGAGTCTTGTAGGGCACAGAGCTCAGTGGCTATGCAGACAGACAAAACAAAAGGACAGAGACAATGTTGGAAAGGGCACAGGCAAACTCTAGACAGACACAGCCACTAAGATTGTCTCCCATCCCCGAAGGTACAAGTATCTGAGGCAGAGGCCAATGGCCAAGTAGGGACGCCCCATCTGCAAAGTGGACTGTATTTAAAATGAAATGTATTCATGTTTTACTTGTATAATTGAAATTTAATTCAAACATTCAAATTCATTCCTTGCCAATTAGCTCAGATTTGCATGTGTGCTGTGTTCTCATTTGTCTGTCCAGGGACAAAGCACGTTCGCTCGGTGTGTGTCTGTGAATGCAGCATATTGATTAGCAAACTGATTAAAACTTGGAAAGTAAAATGAAAAAACTGGGCAAGGTTTTCCATTCACGAAAGCAACAAAACTAATAAGGTGTTCAGGAGTCAAGCCATTAAGAAATGTGGAGAACGTATGCGACCTGCAGGGCCAGCTTTCATTAGAAGGCATCAAAAGCGAAGCAAAACCAAACCAAACAAGGGAGACTGACCACGGGAGTCGGGCGCCGCAGTCGCAGATGGGAGAAGCTGATGGCATCCTAATGATGTTATTTTTCCCTCCAATGCAGTCTCACGTAATAAGATTTTTTTTTTCCCATGGAACTTTGACAAGCTAATTATAAGATATATAAAAGTAAGCCAGCAATATAACAAGGTAATTTTTTAAAAAAGAATAGAGGGCAGGGTAAGGGTACTTACCGTATCAGGTATTAAGACACTATTCAAAGCTTTGCTCATTAAAGTACAGCCTTGGCTCACAAACACATACAGAGATCAGCAGCAGGAAGAGACTAGACACAGGATCTGGGAGGAAAGACAGGGCAGGGCTGTGAGAGGTGCTCAGCAAAGGTACTGTCTGTCAGACCCCATCTCTGTCACCTCACACACAAAAATGTGCCTCAGGTGGAGTAAACACAAGAGCATAGCAAATACCAGAGAGTTTGGCTGCAAACACAGACTGCCTGCTACAGGAGACGGTCCTGTCTCTAGGCCATACTAGTGTAAGGTGGGACACTGAAGGGTCACTTTCAGAATAGCCAAGGGCTCCAGGAAGACCAGGTTGGGTCTGCCAGCCTGACCTCCCAGGCTGCTCTGTTTTTCTCTCTCCTCTCTTCTGTCTCACAAGGGTTCCGTCACAAGGGCTGCAAGCCTACCACCATCTCATCACTTGTGTGGTATTGACACGATCCGTTGTTTCTTCTCTGACTTCCATTCCCTCGTGGAGGGAACACAGAACAACGTATCATGTGAAGGAGGTGATGTTCCTGTGAGGTGGTGAAGGTGGTGAGAGCTCACAGATACGGGTGAGGTGAACTCCACTTTAGTTCCCACAGTCACCCAAATGTCTTCCTCCCCAGATTTAACTGCTCTAATTCCTCTTTGTAGCGCTGCAACAGTCATACTTTTTGGTGGAAACAAGAATACATGTCGACTTTTGGGATTCCAGTCTAAGACAGAAAGATGCTGGCTTGGTACCTAAAGAGTTCACTGACTATTGCACACAAAATATTAAGTCATGATCCCAGTCACAAAACAGAATCAAACTGGTGCTAATTAGACATGCAGGCAGGATACAGGAGAGATATAATCTCCCCAAAGAACATGGGATCATGTTGTTCTCTAAAAGGTAAATAATTGAGTTTTGCCCACATTTGGTCATATACACATTATTGCCCCAAACTAATTTATCTTCCTGTGCACTTGATCCCAGCCCCTTTGGGAGCTTATTTCAAATAATTGTCTCCATCCCTAATTGCTCAATTACTCTGGCTCCACAGCCCAGAAGAGCCATGTTCCAGCGCTGCTCTTTCCTTTAAGATTAAGATGAAAAAGTCCAGGGCCTGTTTGCTCCTTTCTCTCCTCAGCTCCCCGTCTGTCTGCCTCCCTGGAGTCTGCTTCTGTCTGTCCTGGAGGAAGCCTCTGGCACAGGTTACACCCGGCCCAGAATACTTTCTGCTGGACTTCCATTGGGGTCTGGAGTGTGCTCCTGTCAGAGCAGCCGTCAGCGCTGAACACTGTACACTGGTGAGCGCGGCTGATTCTTTCTCCGCTAACACTACAGTCAACTGAACGCCTGGCTTCACCAAAGGGCCCTTGGCGCTAGGCCTGCTGGAGGGTGGCGTGACTGTACAAACTTTGGTTAGGGAACAATATTTGCTATCACTTCTTGGAGCTCATGTTGTCTATGAACATGCTCATCCTTCCTAGCCTCACCCTCTACACCCCCATCTTTCACATCTGCAAGTTCTCCTTCTTGACTCCTTACAGGGCTCTTAGGCACAGTCTCATGTCCCTGGTGCATGCTGACACATTCCCCTTTATGTTCCTGTAACTCCCTGCTAATGCTCTTTTAAGGCCACTACAAGTCAGCTAATCCTGAAATCCAAAGGGAAAATTCCTGTCTTGATCTGACTGGAATTCACTGCCACATTTGACAATGTTGATTACTTTCTCCTTGAAACCCTTCACTACCTTGGTTGCCATGGCAACTTGCTCTCCTAACCTGTTTGTTGCATCTCTCTGGTCCTTCCCTTTCTGCCATCTTGTTCAGTTTCTTGAATGTCTCTAATTCCTAGTCTTGACCTAGATCTTCTTCGACCTTCTCCGCATGGTCTCTGGCAAGTCACTTTCTTTGGGTCTCCATTATTGAGTGGCAATGGCTCCAGGACACTTGTGTCTTTTTCAGCCCTCACCTTGGGATTCAGGCATCTGCCAGGCCTGTCTGTGTCCCCAATACCCTCACTACATTAGCCACTTTCCGGTGTCTCTGACTAACTCACAATATGGTGTCCCTCAACCCAGCAGCCTACCACCCATGGGACTGCTCTCAAGACATCTGTGCCACTCCTGGCCTGCTCTTTTAAATGTGTGTGAATGTGCATGGAAGTGCATGTCAGAGTGTGCATATATGTGTGAGTGCATGACATGGGTACTGGGAACCACATGTGAATACTCTGCAAGAGCAGTGTGAGCTCTTTACTATGGAACCAACTCTCCAGCCCCAGCCTGACCTCTTAGTAGCCAACCATTCTAAGTACTTCTGGCTTCTACCTAGCATGAGGTCCTGATCCATTCCTCTCCAACCCTACTGGTCTAAGTTGAGCTGTCTCTCATACAATCTCCTGCCTCTGGACAGACCAGCTACTTAAGGAAGGAGATCAGGGCTTTCTAGCATCTCTCACTCATACAGCTCTATAAACCTGTGAGAGTTCTTGGTATGAAATCTCATGTAACTGAGGTAGAACCTGGGCTGCTCTATCACGCAGAAGACACAAGGCATAGCACGAGTCCCATGCTCAGGCAGCTAAGCCATGGCTCACTTGACCATGACTTCTGGTCCAACTGTGACAGAAAATAGCTGTAATTCAGTGGATACTGCGCAGAAGAGACCAAAGAACTCAAGACTACATCCTCATCTCTAGCCCCTTCGCTTCTCACCACTCTATCTTTTTGCTTCCTTCTCTGGGTCAGTTTCCTTCCCTGTGATACAGGCCAGTGCTGTGGCTGGCTGCCTCACTGCATGCAGGTGGAGGGGCTGTGATGATCAGACGAGACAGTGGCCATGATCCCATGGTATATACTAACAGGAGTTAAGTTCACATTGAGGCCAAGGAGCATCCCTGAGATGCAGATAGTATAACCACAAATTCTATGTCATTTGTTGACATAAGAGAAATCTTTCTGACAAAACCTCCATTTCAGACACTAAAGTTAAAGCCAGACAATGATTATTCTGCCCCTACCTGGACAGTTGCCTGTTGCCAGGTGCCCAGAGTTACAAAGAATGCTAAGACACGACCCCAGCCACCAGGCAAGATGAAGCTACAGCTAGAGCTGCAGTCAGGACCCACAGGGCAGATGAAGGCTCCCTGAAAACATGAAGATCAGGTTCCCCACAAAAAGGAACATGATTGAATTTTGCTCCTTCCACCAACACAACTAATCCCCTCACCTCAGCATTTAATCCCACTGTTCTGGGGCCCTTTGCTGCCTATCCCCACTCTGCAAGCCCGGCTGGTCCAGCCTTCCCCTGTCCTGCTGTGGCTGGTGAGCGCTGGTACCTTCCTGTTCTGTAGCCCACTCCCCCCTTCTCCATCCTCCCAGCCAGGTTAGAGGTCAATTGTCCCCCACCTGGGGGACTTCTGTCCTGTCCTCAGAGCTGTGCAGCAAACTCTTTGCTGGCTTCTGGAACATATGCACTTCTCTTGTCTCTTCCAATGGCACCTTCTCAGGTGCCATGCTGTATCTGCCCTTAGAAGCCCAGTCACAGATAAGCTTTGGGCCTGGTTCCTGTGAATCTGTCTGTACCTTTGTGCAAGTACATGTGTGTATATAATAGATTTGTATGTGTTTGTATGTGTACAGGCACATGTATGTAAAAGCCACAGGTTGAAGTCCGGGGTCTTCAGCAGTCTCCACTTCATTTTCTGAGACAGGGACTCTTGTTGCTCAAAATTTGTTATCTGGTGTGTGCTGCCAATATCCATTTTCATCTTTTATACAGAGCTAGGGATTGAACTCAGGGCCTAATGTTTGCATAGCAAGCATATCAACTAAGCCACCTTAGTTGTGTGCTCTGAGGTGAGTTTAGAATAGAGCCTTCCTTCTAGTAAACAGCGTATCAACAATCTGAACCTTGGTTTTGTACAAGCCTTATCCTCTTGCTCCAGGTCTCAGTCTCTGGCTCATGATGACACCTAGAGCTATGTGCCAACAGCACAGAGAACTAGCTAGCTACAGGAAGGTCTGACTGGAAACAATGACAATGACAACAGGGTAGGCAGCATTTCCAGGTGAGAAAGCCACTGAAACTCTGCCAGGAGATTGTGTGGAGAGAAAGTTCACCTACTCAGCTAATGTGAATGAATCCGCCAGTCTGTAAGCATCCAGTTCTGCAAGAAAACATTACTCAGGGGCCACAAGGGCTCACCCCTCCCACTCACAAACCTGTACTGACCTACCTGAATGGTCTGCCTGCCAAGACATTTCACCATAAGTAGCAGAATCATCTCAGCCAGTTCCTGGCAAGTTCACCTTCTTGGGGCTGCAGCTGTCTTGATCCTTCCATGTTCCGAGATGTGGAGTTGATGAAGTCTGATCCATGCCCTGATCAGCACTGTCAGAGCCTTGGGGCATCTGAAGATGTGGTGCTGGCACTGAAAAGGAACTCAGGGATAACCCAGTTCAACTGCCTCCTTCTAAAGATGGGGAAACAGGCCTGGTGAGTGGAGGTAACTCCCAGCAAGTCAGTGGAGAAGCATCCTTACTGAGAAAATCAGGACAGGGACTTTGCCTAACTAACCTTGATTCAAAATGGTGCAGGGGCTGGAATGATGGGTCAGAAGTTAAGAGAAGTAGCTGCTTTTGCAGAGAACCTGGGTTTAGTTCCTGACATCCACATAGCAGCTCACAACTGTCTATAACTCTAGCTCCAGGGGATCTAAGGCTATCTTCTGGCCTCCAAGGACACCGGGCACACACATGGTGCGCTTATATACATACGAAAATAAAATAAACGTTTAAAGCAAAACAAGAAGAGAAAGAATAGGGGGGCTATGGGTTGTAAGACTCAAGTAGTAAATTTTCATCTCTCCAGGGAAGCAGCACATGGTGTGAAAGGCATGCTACAATCAGGAAGGACAGACTATTTTTGCCAGTCCTTGCTGGAGGTCTCCTATGTGAAATCTGGATGATTGAGAACTTCAAGTAATAGAATAGACAAAACAAAAAACAAAATACATCCAAAACTAGGTGAGTCTCTCTAGGAATCCCCAAATCTAAGTACCCACAAGTGCACAAAACCCTAACACACCATGCAGAACTGTGACCAAAGGAGAGTTGCTTTCCTAGTCTTGACCACTGTAGGTATCAATGTTGAATGACCCAGGAAGCCCCACCAGCTGGCCAATGGATAGAACCCCTGATTCCCATCCATCATCATCACCTTAACACTGACAGCTTCAATTGATAGCTGTACTACTGATTTCAGACAGTGTTTCATGTAGGTCAGGTAGCCTGAAACAGGTAGCCAAGGATGACCCTGAACTCCTGATCCTTCAACCTCTACCTACCAAGTGCTAGGATGACAGGCATGAGCCTCCATGCCTGGCTGCTTCATTTGATGTAATTTCTCATTTCTGACGTTTATTTCCAACCAGCAAATATTTATTTAGTGCTTCTTAGCAATGGTTTCAGGACAGATAAGGTCACTGGTCTGATGCTAAGCTTCTTTGGTTTGGGTGGGTAGATTGTTTCATGCTTTCTGTCCCAGGTTAACCTCGCTCCTACTCTTTTAATAGGGTCTTAGCTCCAATGTGACTGTTTTAAAAAGTATCTGCTCTTCACCCCTTCCTCTCAGAACAGGTGTGTTCCAACCCTCACATCCCACCAACCTCCTCCATCTTCTTGTGCTCCCAACCCTCAGTGTTTCACCTCAGGATCTCTGCCCCCTTTTTCACTCATGACAGGTAGGAGAAGACCACAGTGGTTAAGGTAAGGCAAGGCCCAGGTCTGCTCTTACTCATCGGCAATGGAAGCCCTTTTGTTCAAGAGCCACAACTGTGACACCCTCAGGGCACTGCAAGGCTTTAGGAGAGCTTACTGATAACTAACCGTCATACCTCCCCATACCTCCCAACTAGAAAAGCACTTGCCAAATAATAGCCTCTCTAGCTCCCTTCCTTCAAAGCTGAGAAAACAAACTCATCTTCACTTGTTACCCTCACACGCTCCTCTTCTGCCTCTATCATTTTGCTAAGCCCAAAAGGAATGATAAAATCCCCTAGGTGATACAGCGATTTCTTCTTGGTCCTCAGGATGGTGGAAGTTGTCACCCCAATCCCAGACACCTTTTGAACTACCTCCTTTGAGGACAGGTAAATGTGTCTGATTGGCACCAGAAGGAGCACAGGGGTGCCAGCCAGGCTGTAAGCATCAGTTGCTCCACTCAGAGAGCATGCCATCCTTGTGGAAGGACAAAAGTTGAGCCAAGTGCCACAGAAAATGCCCTGAATTAGTAAAGAAGCCCAACGGCAGCCATGCAGATCATAGGTTGAAAGGAGCTGGGCTGGGCCTCAGAGGCACAGGTGCAACTGAGCAGCCAGAGATGACTGGATCCAAATGAAGGGAAAGCCACGGGCCTGGGAAACACTGAGGGGCCAGAAGGCTAGGTTTACAGGTACAGATATTTTGTCAGATAAGGGAACTAAGAAGGTTACAAAACAGCATACAAGGCTGTTAAATGGGTACAGCAACAAGGGCCATTATAACAGTCGCTGAGTGTGTGCTAAACCCCTGTGGGCCCTAGCTCCTGTCTGTGCAAAATGGCACCACAGGGCACCCACAAAATGGCTCTGAGTGTGAAAATAACTGGCTCATACTTGACTAGTCAGTGAAAAGAAACAAACCCCAAAGCCATCCACTAAAGCAGTCCCCACAGAGAGCCCTGTCCATGTGTGAGCAGTAAGGCCTTACAGAGCTGAAGCCTGTGGACTGCATGGGCCTGGAGTAAGACCAACACCTCGGCAGTGTGTTTGCAGGGATGCAGCATACGGCAGTGGAGGTGGGGGCTGAAGAGTGTTATGAGCCCAACACTCTGGTGCGGGTGCTCATGATCTTTGAGGAGAGAAGGCGGGAAAGGCAAGAGGAGCAATGCCAACAACCAATTCAGTTTATGGTCAGTCACAGCTTGGGAATCTAGAGCTGCTGGGTCACTGTTTACCTGTAGGTAATCTGGCCAGTGCTGGTCTTGGCTGTAGAACAGGGAATCTGTGCTCTTACACTGTTGCCACTTCACCCACCTGCCAGTCAGGGACAGTAAGAGTGGAAGCTTCCAAAAACATGGGGTTGAGGGCACAGGGCAGGGGGAGAGAAGAACATAACCAGGACACCACTACATCATGCCTGCCTTGTGTGCTCCACTGTACAGAAAGAATGCCAGGCTATGTGTTCTTATGAGGTTCTTCTCCTCTACCGTCTCAAAATACTAGTCTGGAAAATAATCCTTGTCACTTCAGAGTTGCCAAGAGGAGTCTTGGGAGGGGATTCCCTTCCTTCTAGGAAAGACCAGTCACCTAATGCCTTTAGGAGTCTAGCACTGATTGACCAAACCACCACCTATTTACCCATAAAGCCACAGACCAACAAGTCCTGTGCCAGACCTGGTCAGGCAGGTTCTGTGTCTGGTCAAGTGACAAAGCCTCTATGATTAAGGGTTGTGTAGGACCTCAATGACCCAGCTAAGGAGTGGGAACCACTGAAGTGCTTTTCTGTTTTCCTCCCTTCCACATCTGCCTTTGCTATACATGAATATTCTTTGCACTTCTGCTCCCAAGAGTAAACCTCAAGTTTATTCCTTTAATGTAGAATCCTTTGATTTAATACTTCATTGCCTTAACACACTTTGAGCCAACATCTCTTAAGACTGAAGAAACAAGAATAAAGGTCACCAACATCTCATAGGAGATGGCTCTGGAAATGTTAAGGACTTCTTCCTTGATTAATAAAATAGGGCAACAGGCCTCAAGGAACACGGATGGTGAAGAACAAGGTCATATGTCAAGTGTGCGTATGTGTATGCATGGGGCGGGGGGGGAATCAAGCCCAGGGCTCTAAAATCTTCTGTCTCCCTGCCTCTTTTTTTGGAAGGCTGCCACCACTACATGGGACAGGGGAAATGTCAGCCTGGGTGAGCTGTCCATCTAAGTGTGGGCTCTCTACAACTGCCCTGGGGAAAGAGGAGATGTGAGAACCACCCAAAGATTTGCCTCTGGGAAGGGTCTTGTCCAATCAGATGCAACAAGGCACCCTTGCACATGCCCCATGTGCTGGCTGTTCTGAGGAGACAGAGCCTATGGAGTGCCCTCCCACCAACAGAGGGAGTGGCACCATGGAGACTGCCTTGAAGCTGATGCTAATGGCCTCCATTTTAAGGTGAGGAAACTAAGGCTAGAGGGGCATCTGGACAGTCATGCAAGTCACAAAGGCACAGCATAAGACCTAGGTCTTGGGGATGGAGAGATGGCTCAGGGGTTAAGAGCACTGACTGCTCTTCCAAAGGACCAGGGTTCAATACCCAGCAACCACATGGTAGCTCACAACTGTCTGTAACCCCAAGAGCTGACACCCTCATACAGACATGCTGGCTAAACACCAATGCACATAAGACAAAAATAAATACTTAAAAAAAAAAAAAAAAAGACCTAGGTCTCCTTGAAGCCACCGAGCGGAGTTTTTATCTAAGTCCATTCTGGACTCCAGTGTGAGTCCCTTTCCTAGATTCCTGGAGGGAGACAGGCCTTCTATAGGGTCCCCAGCTCTGTGGCTTTACCTGACCAGGACAGACAATGCTGTTTTCAACCTAACTCCATTCTCCCCAGTACTGGCTTACTAAACTCACTGCTGCCACTTCTGAGCCCTTTCTTCTCATTCTCAGCGAACTAGACAAGTTGGTAGCCCTCTCCAGAGTCCTGCTGCTTCCGCTGCTCAAGCATACACCATTCCCTAGGAGCGAGTCCCACCTCACATGCTGCTTATTGTGATGGCTCCCTGTCGGCTGGAAACTAGAGCTCTCAGGACTGTTTAGAGCCTGCTAGAGACAGCTCAGCTTTAAAAATCCTCCTTTAGCGTCTCCCCAATTGTCGATGCTCTAGCTTTAAATAGACTGACCTCTTTCCCCAGGAGCGTTCTGGGGTCTAAGACACGCAGATACTAGTGGTCCTTCATTTTCCTTTGCAGCTCAAGGTCTTTACCTGTAAGCAGAGCTGCTGGTGAAAAGCAACATCTCCTTCATTATTTCAGTGCTCAAATATTTACACTTGATTTTCAGATCTGAGAGTCAGTCCTCCCAGGTCTGCATCAGCTTCCTCCTGAGACTCTCAGAACATCTAGGCTTAGATCTCTGGGGTGACTTGACCAATAAATACTATCCCCTTTCTCTTTAGCCTGGAGGACAGTGTGATGACAGAAACTGTCCACTGTGGTTCCCAGGGTCTCACCAAGCATGAGATCCTGAATAAAATTAGATGAAGAGTAAGGCAGGTCTCCTGAGCAGGACTCAGTGTCTAGGAGGAACTCTGAGGTATCAGCAACAGTGTCCATGAGGACTGAGGGATGTGCTCCAGACAAGCCATCACCACAGAGAAGAAACAAAGGGAAGCTCCCAACACAGGCCGTGTCTGGGCTCACATGGTACACTGATCAAAGCACACAGCACATGCAGGCAGCTCCCTACGAATCCCACCACCAGCTCAGTTCAGCCACCTTCCTCAACTGGACTCCAAAAGAGCCTAGGATTTGGGGAGAAAAGATCACCAGTGTTGGGAAAACTGTATTTGTTCCAAAGACCACATTTTACCCATCAGGAAACTGATGGAGGTAGGACACCTTCTCAAAGCCACACTGCAAAAGTGCAGTGAGGCCCTCGAAGGCCTGGTGGTCCTACTTCTGTGGAGGATGCAACTTCATTTTGGTTTTCCTGAAAAGGAGCACAGGGAGAGAAACAGCATTCTTGGTGAGGTGGGAAGTCCACTGGGCAGACAGAACTCCAACATGCCAGGCACCCTTGGAAGGATGGGCTATCAATACCTTACTGAAAGGACCACAAGTCTTTCAGAGGGAGGCCTGTATGTGACTTTCAAGCACATGACCTAAAACCACAAAGTTGCCTTCCAAGGGAGAGCAAAATAAGCAATGATCTTGGCCTCACTTATGTTCCAGGTGCCTCCACAGGAGAGGGACACGAAAGCCTCTGTTTGTTTTTGGAACCTGCAGTTGTGTACTTTGCTGTCTCTCCACTCTGCTAGAATCAGGAGGTCCCGGAGTGCCAGGCCTGCTTGTCCTGACATCTCCAGCAAGGCTCATATACAGGGTCTCTGTGTTTACTGAACAAACCAGCCTTTCCCTATGCCCTGCTCCTCCGCTTGTCAAGCTCTGTAGACCCCCAAAGAGCTACACACAGCAAAGACCTCAAGAGGTAAGAGATCCACCAAGCAAACAGACAGAAAAGATACCCTGCAACTTCTCAAAGAAAACCCTTCTAAAATAGACAATTCTTCGTAACTTTGTTTCTTTCCCTTTAGATAAGGTCTCACTCTGTAGCTCAGGTTGGCCCAGAACTAAGATCAATCCTCCTGCCTCAGCTTCCTGGGTGCTAGGATTATAGGCGTGCTGATTACACATTGATTACAGCTCTTTGGAAAGTTATAATTCCAAAGAGAAAACCATAGATCAGTAAAGCCAAGAATGCGGAAAAAAAAAAAAAAAAAAAAAGCAGAAGAGCAAGAGCAAACCTACTCCAGCTTTTCTACAATAAAGGAAATGGCTAGAGAGGTCACGTGAACTACTCTGAAGTCACCGAACCCCCTTCACACATTCCCTTAGCAGCCCTCACAGCAGCTCCCAGCCCTCAGGTAGAATGCCTATTCTGCTCTCTGAGAGAGACGTGGGGATGGATGCCCAGCACTGGGCTCTAATGTTCTGCCCCGACTGAGAATCCCGGGTCATGCCCACAGTAACACGTGCACATCCACGGCATGGACTATACCCCGTGCTTCCAGCTTCCGCCTAAGATGTGCTGGGTGGACGGCGAGCCTTATTTATTTTTCCAATTGAAATGGCATGAGGGGTTTCACTTATTTTTACTTCAAAAGCAGCACCATAAAAATCCTTGATGATTAGAGCCCCAGCTGTCCTGAGTTGTTTATCAAGGGATCCATTACTCAAATCTTCTATGGAGCAAACAGTTTCAGGCGGGAAGCCGTGGGAGCTGAGAAGCGCAAATGTCTCATCTCTGAAAACTTTCAGACTCCCTCCTGTTCACCGCCTGGACTGCCCCTGCTCCCCTCCCCCAATTCCACCATCTGTTCTCCAGAGAACAGATCAAATTTTCCAGCTAAGGTACTCTGGCGCCAAGGACTCAGCCCTGTGTGTTTCACCCTGCCCCCATCAACTTAGAAATCCAACACCATGACCCAAATGGACTGCAGCCACATAAAACCACAAAGTAAAGTTTATAAAGCTTTATTAAACATTTCAAACAGTTGTGGAACGAACACACCAGAAATAAAAGCTTTACAACAGCAGTCCGAGTGTTTCACAAGTGTGGCCTCGAAGTCCTACTCCCCAGATGCCTGCTTCCAGCTCTGCCCTGTGCCTGGCCCACCACCCTTGCTCGCACACGACAGAGCCATTTCCGACTGGAAGAACAACCATGCTGATCCCCAGTGGCAGGGGCCAGGAGAAAGTCTCATCTGCCAACATTTGTTACTGAAGTGCTGAGAAAACAAGTACCAAGTCACCAAGTCTTCCTGCGTATTCTTCACAGTGCACAGTCTATGAGCGCAGGAATGAAGAGGCTCCTGGCAGGAGGATGATGGCCACCGCTCCCCTGGGTCTTGTTTGAACCACCTTGGAGTCCACTGTGCTGGTCACTCTGCAATCCCCATGCTAAATAAAAACTGCAGCAGGACCTACTACAGCTAGCTACTACTACTAAACCTCAAAATCAGAACACATTCAGTAAAGCTTCTTCAAAAGGAATATACACGTTTTGTATGTACATGTACACACACACATAAACACGCGATCGCACATACACGCGCGCACACGCACACACGCACACACACACACACACACACACACACACACACACACACACACACGGCACATCAAAAAATATCCAAACACCTATCAAGGGAATCATGGCTGCTATGAAACACATAATACTTTCCCATTCATTCAGCTGGGGACCACTGGGTCTATAAGAAACACTGCAAACCTCCCTCCCAAAGAGCATGCACTGGAGACAAGAGGCAGCCCCCTTAGGATGGCTGAGAGAGGCAAAAGGAAGAGCAAAGGGATAGTGGCTGGGCTGGAAGGCAAAAACCCAGACACCCAGGTCAAAGAGCAATGTCTCTCCATTGCTTCTTTCTTAGAAATGAGGCAGAGAAAATACTGGAGGTTTGTGGACACGGGGCAGTTGAGACATGACTCTGTCTCACCTTCTCAAAAGGGAAATAAGGATTAAAAAGCGAGGCTCTCGGGCATCAGCAATCTCTTCAAATTTGAGATAAGTGCAAAAACAAGCCCTGTCTTGGACAGGTGCTCCCCACAAAAGGAAAGGGGTGGGGATAACCAAGGGGAAACCAGGGAAAGGGACTGAGGAGGGAAGGAGGAAGATCCTGACGAGGAAGGGTCATGGAGGTACAATGAGACTAGCATTGTATCTGTCCAGGTCATACCAAGGGTCATTGACCAGGATAGGTGTAGACTCCCCAAAATGATGATAAAGGGGATGGGCCAGTCTGTCAGCTGGGACCCAGATGGTGACAGAACATACAACCATAAGACCACCCACGACTACAGGACTCTGCAATAGAAGCACCGGTCAGTGCCATTATTCACATTATAAGGATAAAACATCACAGGCCAAAAGGCTCCATTAGGAATGTAGCACCCGCAGGGCTGCGGGATTTGAAACTCCAATGCTTTATGACTTATGTCAATGCCTCCCCTCCCGTCTTCTGCTTCCTTGGCAAGCTATCTCGGCAGACGTTAGGTGCCCACAACACCGGGGTCATGGGCTGATTCTGGAAGCGGGGAATCGGAGCAGTGGTACAGGAAACAATTTCCCCAGCAGCTATAGCAGATGAGAAAGAGGGCTGCCAGGAAAACCAAAGCACATATTGTGCAAGGTTTCCGTTCCAGGAGGAAGCTGAGCAGGTAGAAGCCCATGAACATGGAGTGGCTGAACCACAGAGCGGGGTTGAGGGGCTTGGGGATGAGGAGGACGGGCAGCAGCCACTGGAGGCAATACATGATCTCTGCCGGGCAGGGCCTTCACCAAGGCTGCCAGGCACCGCTGCAGGAACCGACCTAATGGGAGCCAGCAGGCACAGGTGGCTGCCCTCCGTTTTCTTCGACTCTCTCTCCAGGAGCTGAGCCGCTGTGCTCTCTGGCTGTCAGCCCGGGATCACCAAGGCAGCAGGGGTCCTGAAGAGAAAAGTCAACACAACAAACAGACAAAGAACAGACAGACAGACAGACAAAAAAACAAAAAACAACAAACAAAACAAACAAAAAAACAGGAACAAAATGTATACTTATTTGGGAAAATGGATCATGGTTAACAACAGCAAATGTGAATGCCCTTTCCTCCCCACCCACCCATGAATATCTACTCCTATCCAAATTACTAGTTTAAGATAGCCTCCTAGGGTGTGTCTTCCCTGGGCTTCTACTGGGGGCTCCCAGGAGGGCACGGTCCCCACAGTGGACTGGCTTTGCCTGGGCCCTGCCCAACAGAGATCATGTATCGCCTCCTGGGGCTGCAGCCCGTCCTCAAAGGTCCCAGACCTCACAATACCGCCCTGTGGTTGCCACAGGACACCATGGGCTTGGTGTTGTGCCCCCGTGTGGTAAGGAAGGGTTCTGTATCTAGTCTCCCATCTTCAGCTCCCAAGTGTGGAGTGTGTCAAATTACAGCAGTTCTCTGTGCAGGGCTAACCTGGAGATGCTAGGCAATGAAATCTCGGAGCCTGATAAGCTATGGGAAGACACAGCAGAAGTGGTGCCAAGGAGTTTGGGACATGTTTGCTTTTTTCAAATAGTTCAGTATCATTTAGCCCAAACCAGCCACTTCTTTCAAGTCAATGTATTTTAAAAAAAGAAAAAAAGAAAGAAAAAGAAAAGAACGAATATAAGAAAGAAAACCAAAGCCACAACACCCAACTCACTTGGATCACTAAACTGCCATCTGTACTGACATTAATCAAAATTAATATCCTGTCCACAAAGGGGCAAATATCTATCATTTAGCCTCTGAGCCAGGTAGCTTGCTGGAGAGGTACTTTCTGCCAGCTACTGGAGATGGTAGGGACCCTCTACCTGCAGACGGCAATTTGCTCTTTCCACCCTTACCACACTCCACTGAAGATCTCTGAGACCACACTAAGAGAGGGACACTCGATTTACTCTGCCACTAGGCAATAGTAGCCATAACCATTGGTGGCTGTAGCAAAATCCTGTTCTGTGCTCCAGCCGCTAGCGAACCCGTACAAAGAACCACCCTGGCTCAGGCAGACCTACTAGGGACTGGGGGAGGGGAGCACAAGACAGAGGTCGCTATGTGTCCAGCAGGAAACCAGCCCCAAATACATTTGGAACACTTCTCCATAAAACTCTCTCCTTTGGTGCACAAAAAGGGCACCCAATCCTTCCTACATCCCTCCCAGAATAGATACAACTGCTTTAGCTACTAAGCAGAGCGCTGGTCCAGCTCAGGACCGCGGCTACCACCGCCTGCCGGCAGAGAAGGAAGCAACAGTCAAGAAAGTGGTACACGATCACGGACTCTCACAAAACATGGGTTTAAAATTCACAGAATAGTAGGCGTGCTGAGAAAGGAGTATACTTTTTGCTTTCTGAGATAGCCTTCCGGAACTTTGGTTATCCATCGGTATATAGGAGGTATATTGTGGCGCCAGGCACTGGTTAACGCGGCTCGAATTTGCAAATGGGTGTGTCGTACCAAGAGGCTTGCACCCCTACCCTCATTCTATACCATAGAGCCATTACTCCCCTCCATTTTACACCGAATTTCAAAAGCGGGCCGAGAAGAATCTTCTGGAAGGGTGCTACGAGCGGGCTCAGGAGGTGGGGGTCGGTGTGGAAAAGAACAGACGGATTTTTTTTTTTCTCTCCTGGCAAATGAGGAGCGCCCCCCGCCACCCCTCCTCATCAACAACCCCCACAAGCGCGCATGCGCACTTAGGTGGCAGGAGGGTACTTAAGGCGCGGCCACCGGGGCTGCGGCAGTGCGCCCAACAGCGGACTCCGAGACCGGCAGACCTCGGCGAACCCTCGCTCTTGACCACCCAGCGACTCTCTGAATCATGGCCGCAGTGGCAGCAGCCTCGGCAGAACTGCTCATCATCGGCTGGTACATCTTCCGCGTGCTGCTGCAGGTGAGTATCTGCCCGGGCTATGGGTGGGAGTGGGCTCCCGAAGCGCGCCCCCTGGAACCCTAACCCGCGTCGCGATTGCCACCTCCCCAACCCAACCTATCCCAATTGCCGCGATTCCTGCCTACCAAAGTGCCGCGGTGGTACTATTTGTCCCTGCCCGTTCCCATGCCCACATCCTCGCACAGACCCTGTCCCCAGTGCGCCGGCGCCCGGCCGGGAACAAAGACTCAGGGGTGCGGCGGTCGCCCGCTGCGGACGATCGCGACCAAGGCGGTAAGAAACACCCGCTATACTCAGACTCGATCCCAGGAGGGAGGCGGGGCACTTTTATGCTGCGAGACTTTCCAGGCGTTACAGCTCGCCCAGCAGAAAATGTTCGCCCTAAAAAATTTGCGCATTGCGGGAAATTTCCTTTAAAATACACTATATACACATACAACACTTGTGGGGTGGGATGAGAAAGAAGTTAGAAAATGGCACTTCTCAGAAAAAAATAAATTAACAGAAAGAATCTCAATAAATTAGGGGGAAAAGTAAAGGAGAAGAAATAGAGAAAACGCACATTGCAGGGAAAATAAACCAGAAAAAGGCACTTGGTAGGGAAAAAATGCATTAGAAAAAGCCACTAGAAAAGAGACAAAGGAACAGGAAAAAAAAAAAATCTGGAAACACACTTTGAATGAAGCAATCAGAGAAAAATACCCTTCGCAGAGGGAAAAAATGGAAGTGGAAAGAGCGCTTCCAGAGAACGCGCGCAAAGGTGCTTTTCTTAAAGCCAAATTGGAAGAAAGCGCTTTGCGCATGAAACCATCTATCTACCCCCCTGGGAGCTCCCTTTGCAGGAAGAGTTCCCTGCTAAAGAAATCCTTTGCCAAAGGAATCGCATATTTCCTTCAAGGTGTTCCTGGAATGCTGCATTTACTGGGTAGGATTCGCTTTTCGAAATCCTCCAGGGACACAGCCCATTGCGAGAAGTGAGGTATACCTAAGTTGTGGGTCCAATCAGCTTGCAGCCATGCAGCACTCAGCACAGTTGGAAAAGCTCCAGCTGCCCTGACTCGTGGACAAGCTGTGCCGCGCCCGCCACTCCAGGCTAAGCTGGACAGGCGGGCGGGGCAGGGGGCGGGGCCGGGCGGGCACACAGCAGGAGCAGCAAGCAGCAGTAGCAGCAGCACGACACTGGGTCTAAAGTGCTTCTCTAAGGGTGGGTACTGGGTCTCTCACCGCAGGTGTTCAGGTACTCCCTGCAGAAGCTGGCGCACACGGTGTCCCGGACCGGGCGGCAGGTGCTGGGGGAGCGCAGGCAGAGAGCCCCCAACTGAGGGCCCAGCTCCCAGCCCTGGGCGGCCGTGTCATCAGGTGCTCCTGTGCCTCTCGACCAGCATGGGAGCCAGTGCCGCGCAGGAATGGGGGTTCCCCTGTGCTCCCTCGTCAGAGGAGCACTTGCCAAGGTCAGTGAGGGGCCGGTAGGCCCCCGGAGAAGCAGCACCGACAATGATGAAGACATCAGTTCCCTTCCCAGCCCCTTTGCCCCCATCCCTCTACTGGCGGGTGGGAGAGGAGGGGGAAAACGGGAGCAAACCCTCGAGATATGGGCGTAGGCACCACCTTCTGTGGACCAAGTCGGACCACCACCATCTCAACCGCACGAGAGATCCTCGCACAGAGATTCAACACACCACCAAAAAGCAGAATGGACACTGACATCACCAGCTGAAGCCTTGAATCTTGGAGCAGAAGAGAAAGCATCAATTGCGAGCTGCGTGAAGGGACTGGAGGGCGTGGGTGAGGGGGGAAGAAGGTTGAGAAATTCAGTGGGGCCCTCTGGATGTCCCTTGCCTACAGTGCACACATTCCTGCCTTGCTCCCTTACTCCCCTTATTCTCCTGCCTTCTAAACCCCTCCCCAAAATGCATCACTTGATTCGGACCTATATATACAACCAGTAATTGAATCCCACCTTCACCAAAACACCTTCTCCGACCCCCGGCCTTTCACTGATCTTGCTTATCCCTGGTCTCACGAAGCGCTTGTGATCAATATTGTGGTAGTTGCTAATTGTACTAGTTTAAGTGTGCATTAGTTGTGTCTCCCCAGCTAGATTGTAAGCTCCTGGAGAACAGGGACCACCCTCCACAAAAAAATAAAAAACGGACCTCTCCTGTCTTGTACAGTGTCCTGGGACCGTACAGGGCAGTGGGGGTGCACCAAAAACTTCTTTTGTGGATTCTTTTGCGACAGTGTCACATCTCTAAAGTGGGGCAATGTACCTACTGTGGAGGGGCATTCCACTTGGGAAAGGGAGGAGGGCAAGAAGACAAGAATGAACCAAGACCCTGCCTCATTTAAATACTGTCCTGAGATAAAAGGACTACTTCTCATCCCCAGTGAAAAAGGTGGTATTCATTTGTCCCAGAATAAGGGACAATTCCCCTTTCTCAGGTTGTTGGGTGCATTTATTTGGCAGTCCTAAGATAAGGTACCATGGCAGGTTACCAATTTGAGAAAGATGGGGAGAAGATAAGTGGGAATGGCCCTCTAAATGGGATACTGAGGACCAGGAGGGCTGACGTAAGAATATAACACTATGGCCCAGATCTCTACCCAGGAGCTCTGGGAAATGACGGCCGGACAGGAAGAGGAGCACTGGCTGGGACAATGAGCACTGAGATGTGGCTTGGTACCTCCACCACCCAGCTCAATGCTTCAGGCCCCAGGATCACCCTAAAGCCATCATGCCTGGCTTTCCAACCCTGTAGCTGCATACCCCATTTCTTCATTTTCTCAGTATATCCTTAAGGGTCTTATCAGGTTCCTAGTCTGCCTCTGCTCTTCCCCTTCTGCTGCATCATGAGGGTGGCTGTCCCCTTAGTTCTCTTCTTTGGCTTGCCAGGGCTCTTCTTACAAGTGTCAGCTGACTGCCTGCCTTCCCAAATGGTCCTAGCACCTGTTAAACCTCATCTCTGGTCTTACCCATCCCTGTCACTGCATACCTGTCCCTATGTCAACATTAAAGGAAGGAGTTGGAAGGCCATCAGTGTCTCCTGCTACTTCCTCAAATCCCTTAGTCATGGCTGTCACACCACAAACACTCAGGTGCACAAAGCACCTCAAAGTCCTTGAACCTTGACCTTGTCTCCCAAGAAAGCCTCATTTTCAGACTGGGGCCTCTGAAGATACTTGTAATTTCATTTAACACAAGGGAATTATGGGGGCAAGTAGTGCAGACAGAACTTGCTGTGGCCTTGGCTTTACCATCCATCAGATCAGACTAGGCTACCCAGCCAGGTCGCGTTTAGTTCCCTACTAAGGTCCAGATGAAGCCCGTACATATCAGAGGATCGTCAGGATTCCACAGGACACGCATTCTAAGGCTCCGTCTTCCTCAGTAAGGTGGATATAGCTGCTGCCAAGGCCTGAAATTAGGTCAGGTCCTTTGCCTCAGTGTTACGCATCTGCAGTCAGTGCCCACCTCTTTCATGATTAGAAATTTCTGTGGTCTGTCACACTAAACCCATATTAAAGCCATGAGTACATACCAACACAAGTTCCCAATGAAGGCTGACTCTCCTCTTGGGAGACTTGGGGTGGGGGAGGCACTGCCATTCTATCGTTCTGTAAGTTCTAGCCCCAGCCCAACACAAAGGCAGGCCAGAACAGGGAGCGGTGGGAGTCTGGCTACTCTGAACATAGCACATATTGTCCCCCATTCCCATCCAGGGTGCTACTGGTAATCCAGGGCTTTTCAGATGATCCTGGCAAAACCTTTTCCTTCCATCTACCCTCCAGCAGTGTAGTTAGTGTAGTTAGCAGGCAAGGGCTGCTCTGGCGACTCTGAGAATGTGAAATATCTACTACTCACTTTCTTCTCCCACCCCACACCCTACCTGACAACCAACTAAACTCTCCAGAGAAGGCAGAAGGAATGTGTTCATGCCCCGTCCTTGTGTAGTGCCTTTAAGCCTAATCCAAACATACCTAATTTATAAAATGTTTCAACAAGCTATATACTATTAAAACATTTTATTCTCATGTAAACAATGGGGTGTGTTCTTTTATTGCAAAGCCCTTAGTCCACAGAGCTAAATATCCCTTTTTCCTAAAGAGATTGCTACCTGCAAAAAGGAGCAAAAGCAGAGCAGATGAGTTGTGAGGAAAGTGGAATAGCTTTATGGGAACCCAACAACACATGAGATTTCAGGAAATAATGCCAGAGAAGCCTGTGTATTGGCCTGACCAGCTCAAGTTCAGTAGGGTGAAGGTCACTAACTACCAAAACTTTTAGAGATGTGGATTCTAAGAGACTTTTTATGTCTCTCTGTAGAGTAACTGAATTGTGATTGAAATGTGTTTAAGGGACAGGACAGAGATTAAGTTTTTTGGCTTGGGCTATGGGGCTGGCCAAAGATAGCTTAATTACACAGAGGCTTTGAGGGAAGCAGGCTTGCTGTTGGCCACTTACTGGATATCTACTTTCAAACTTGGATCTCTTCAGGAGCCAACACCCCAAAGGGAGAGTCTGAGCTGGCAGTTAATCTCCCCCAGGAGATTTAAATGTGTACAGACACAATACTAGTCTACCAAAGTCTTTTTTTTCCAGGTGACCATGCCTTCTTCCATATGCCAGAGACACACACTTGCCACAATCTTCTCTGGAAATGATCCTGTCTGTCGTGCCCCAGGCCCCCCTCCACAGGGCGCATACCACAGCAGGATACAGATTCCTGAACATTCCCAGGGCAGAGCCGGAAGACAGAGAGGAAGGCAATACAGGGCTCTCAGTAGATCACACAGTGACAAGCTGGAATGGAATGCGTGCATTTCAAAGATAGAGAACAAGAGGAGGACAGCCCAACTCTGATCCCCCTTAGAAACAACAGATAAGAAGTTAAAACTGTTTGGGCAGCAACTTTAAGATGACCATTTTCAGATACAGAATTGATCTGGTTCCTGGAAACTGACCAAGGTTCCAGAAACCCAATCTGTGAACAGGAATTCTTGCCATTAATGAATCTTGATTAAAAAAAAAAAGGCAGGGTGGACCTAACATTTGGCATGAACACATAAAATGGAACTTTTTGGGTCCTGGTTTCGGTGTTGCAGTCCAGAGGCTGACAGGATGGTTGGACCTTGTCAGGCAGGGCAGAGAAAACTGTTCCCAATACATCATTCCCTGAATGGGACAAAAGAAGATCCGAACCTATAAACAGAAAGAACCTATAAACTAGATAGGTCTCAGTTCCCCAACTAAAAAGGAACATGAGACCAAGAAGGAAAATTCGGCTGCTCCCATCCCCCATTCCTCCTCTCCAGGCCAAGATGAGTGTGACAGGCATTCCATTCCTTCGGCTGCCCTTGAGGCTACGCCCCACACACCAGACGAGAGGAAACCGGTGTCCAGACTCAACGAAAAGTTGGTGGGAGTGGGAAGCACCCGAAGCAGGCGGTCGCCCTATCACTCCAGACACAAATGAGAGGATTTGGGGGCCCAGTTCTACCTTCTCCCTACACTCCTTCGGATGGGGGGAAAAAAGAAAAGAGAAAGACTTAAGTGACGAGGAAAGAGTGGCCGGCCTCTCGGAAGCTGAGCCCCTTGCCAAGGGCCGGAGCAGAGGAGGTGGTGGTCGAGCCCGGCGATCCCAGCCCCATCCCGTGAGCGTGCTGACCTTGGAAGCCAGCGCCATAACCAGGAGCCCCGGAACCCACCCTAAGGGACGGGAAGGGGAACCTCCCCCATGACCCAGGCTGGGGCGAAGCGGGGAGGTCACCTGACGCCAAACAAGGGTGCACCCGGCCCCAGCCGCGCGAAAAGCTCCAAAGAGAGGCCTGGCGGCCCCTAAGGTGACCCCCCCGCAGGGCCAACATGGCGGCCTGGACTCTCCGAGCGCCTCGCCTCTCACCCCGCCCAGGCGGGCGACGCCACGATACCTGCGAGCCCCGCCATGGCGCAGCCGCCACTGTCTCCGTCGCTGCCGCAGCCTGCCTCCACCTTAGCTCGCCACCGACGCCGCAGGAGCCGGGGAGACGCCCCCTTCGTCTTCTAGTGGAGCGTTCCAAGGACCCAGTCCAAACTCGGGCTGTCCTCGGCGGACGCCTGACAAACAGGCCTAAAGTGAGGCTACTTTGGGGTACTCTTTCCTCTGTATCAGCCACAAGTGTTCCTTTATGAACTTTTTATGGACTTCAATAAAATTATGGAGCGCTGAGGTCTTCAAATCGGTGGAATATTTAGTCAGGCGCAGTCTGGGCAGCCCCGAACCTCTGGCCCATGGTCCCCTCATGCATATGCAGCAGATTGTGACCCTCACTCTTTAAGAGTCCAGTGGGCGGCGTAGTTTAAGTTGCTCAGATGAGTTTGACTCCCTAGAAGCTCTCGGATCTTGGCGGGGTCTGTGCACTCTGGGAAACTTCTCGTGACTCAGATCTAGCCCTTTCAACCATGGGCAAAGACAGGTTCAAAACGTGGTTCCTTCTGGGTGATGAAATGGCTGGCCCCAGGCTTGTTAAAGTCTAGATGAGTCAGTATGTTCACTTACCAGCTAATTAGCCACCTTCCTGTGCTCTACTATGCGCAAGCGCACCCCTAGAGGCTAAGGAGCTAGAATTAGGCTCTTGACCCCAGTTTTCTCAGTCAGGAGTTGAGAGTGAGTGTTGGAGGACAGAGGAGAGATTGCCACTCGGTAATTACTGCATAGTAATACTTTTAATCATGCCAGTACGTAATTAGGCATCCTAGGAGCACTATGAGGCAAAGTAAAGAGAGTTGTGAGAAATTAATGAAATCCTGGTGTCTGCAGAGAGGTGACGGTTGGGGCCTTCTTGGGCAGATCAGTTTGTGCATTGTGTGAGTTGAAGGGGTCTTGTTCCAGACAGAGGTGACAACCTTAAGAAGGGTGGGGCCTGAGCAAGGGATAGGACAGGTCATGAGTTTGGATTTTTGTCTTGAGAGGCAAAGTTCTTCAGGGTGATGAAAATAAATTTGGGTCTCTTGGCCTTCAGGCTGTTGGCTTTCAGGATTAGAGGATATGGAGGTGAGTTTCAGGATGAGAGGCCAGCGAAGCAACCTGAACAGCTTTCAGACATAAAGTCACGTGACTCAGACAGGTAGTGGCTAGGGGAGCTGCTAGAAGAGGGCATATCAAACGGTGTGGGTAAACAGTGAGGCACAGGCATTAACACCTAGGCTTTAGTCTTAAGTACAGAGGGATGAAGAGCCTTTGGCCAAAGTGGAAAAAGCCTGAAGAAAGGTTGCAGGGGACAATCAGAAGTGTGACTGAGAAGTGATAGCTGACATGCTTGAGCACCCTGTCTGTGGAGAGAGTAGAATGAGAAGGGCTCCTGGGGCTTCCTCAGCACATGGGTCATGGTGTGGTTGAGAGGCCAAGGGAAGGGAAAGAAGAAAGGCAGTGGGCAATGGTGGCTTAGGGAGGAGCCAGAGAAATGAGATGCAGGGAGCACTCCCTACTGCTACCGTCTTGTCCATAAAGCAAGGGTTCAAGTAGGAAGAAATGCTCTGTGGCGCTGGATGCTCCTGGCTCCTGCAGGAGACAAGGGGCACCTTGGATTTGGGAATGAAATGGCTTTGTAGCCTGTGTTCTTCATGTTGCAAGTTAAAAAACAAACAAACAAACAAACAAACAAACCAGTAAATTATTGGCTTGAAAAGGAAATGAGTGGCAGATGAATGGAGTGGCTTGGCAGTGTCACAGAGGACTTGGGTTTATTCCAACACTCTGTTGCCGTCCTTCAGTGAGCACATCCTTCATTCTCACAAGATGGCGATCCCAGCTCCAGGTGTCACATGTGAGCCAAGACAGTGTGCATTCTTCCCTTAGTTGAGACCACAGCAGGCCTGACTGTGACCCTCTTGTTCAGTTGCTTATGAGCCCATAAGGAGCAGTGTGCCTGTACCGGGTTCTCCTGTCATCTAACAACAGAAGAATACAGAAGGCCAGGAAGCTTTTGATTAGACAGAGAAGGGGCTCAACACTGGGTCCATAGCAACCAGCATTTCTTGTGCAATGTTGATGGGAGGGGGAGAGGGAGGGAGAGTGTAACCGCTCTAGAAAACTGTCGGCTTCTCAAACCCCCCCCCCCATGTGCTGTGCTCAGCGCCTCCACTTGTATGGACTGTCTTGAGTCTCCCTGAAGACCTGCACAAGACTGTCTTTAGCAGAGGAAGCTCTAGTTCAGCTGGTCTGAAAACAATCCACTGTCCACCCACAGGAGAGTGGACCAACGCACCAAGTATTAGTCAGGGTGTGGGATACATTTGGCCCTTGGTAGCCACAGCTTCTGCATGGGGGGCTCAAAGATGTTTCTAAAACATGTGGAAGAAAGATTTGCATCTGTGCTGAACCTATCCAGGTGTTCTCCTCACCAGTCCCTGAAAACCATAATGGAATAGTTGCTTATATAGCTCTGACAGGTTTTAGCTTAGTCTTCTAGAGCTGGAGTGAAGTGCATGAGAGATCTGTGTAGGGTACCTGTGAATGTACTATTTTATGTGAGAGACTTGAGCATCCTCATTTTTGAGGCCTTGGAACCAATCTCCTCTGAATTTTGAAGGGCACACATATTCTATGCATAAACCTAACAGACTAGCACATGGAACACTGCAACTTAATCTGCCATTCAGGGTGTGGGTTAAAACTAGCCAGACCCAAACCAGTGCAAACAGCATGATTCTGTTGTTCTAGTTCAAGAGCAGGTGAAACTTAACTATAGTGATAGCAGTTAAATCAGTGGTTTCAGGGGGTCAGGAGAGAAAGGGTCTCAGCAAAGACTTGGCTCAGGTAGGAGGTCTGATGAGGGAAATACTCATCAAGATGGTCCTGAAGCCAGGAAACTTTATATAGGTTATTTTTCAAAATAAATAAAAAGAAACATTTTAAAAGACCCCAAACAAGGGTCAGAAAGTTTGTTTCTAGTACTTCTGTTGCAGGTGCAGGCATTGGCAAAGCCTTAGTGGCCAACTTTCCTATGGGAACTCTGCCAAGCTTGAGGCAGGCAGGAAGGGCTTCTGACCTCTGTCCTGCTAACCTGGTTCCTTCCATCCTCAGGCATGTTCCCCTTGGATCCTGGGATTTCCAATGACCCGAAAGCACTTTCTGTCCCCAAATTTGGCTTTGTTGACCTTGACTCCCTGCCAAGGCCTCTCAAGTTGTTCCCACCCACCTGACACCCAACCCGGACTGCTCTCATTAACCTTGCACCCTCTGAACCTTGTCTTTTCTTTGGGGTTTCCTGCTCCCTTTAGACATTTTTGTCTTCACTGCCAAAGTTGGTCCAGGTCACCACCCTCCCTGCCTCAGGCCTTCACTGGCCTCTCTGTTCTGACTCCTGTTGAACCCAAAACAGTCCGTGTGGAGGTTGGTTTTGTCAATGTGGCCTAGAATCTCCTGGAAAGATTCTTAGCAAGGGGCTGTTTAGAGGAGGATGGCCCTTAGGCATGTCTGCGGACCATGGTCTTGATTGCTTTAATTAAGAGGGAAGATCCAGCCTGAAAGTTGGCAGCACCCTTCCCTGGTTTTGGAGCCTGGACTCATAAGCAGAGAAAGCTAGGCGCACACTAAGCTTGTGTGCGCATGCATTCCTTTCTGCCTGTGACTGTAGATGCAGGGTGATCAGTTCAAGTTCCCGTCACTTTTCGCTGCAACAACAGACTGTAACCTGGAATTGTAACTCACAATAATCCTTCCTCCCCTAAGCTGCTCTCTGTCAGGCTTTTTGTTACTGTTTGTTGTTTGTTTTGTTTTTAATCACAGCAACAGAAATCACAGGCATCCTTCACACAGCAACCAGAGGAGTCTTGCTAAGATGACCCTGTTACTCTTACTCTGGAGGTAGTGTCCCCTTCCTCTGTAGTCACCTGTCAAGGTCCTCCCCGTCAACCTTTAAAGCCCCAAGACCTTTGGTACCTTCCCCATCAAGCCTTCGCATTCAGCCAGTGTCTCAGTTGGGATTCTGTTGCTGTGAGGAGACACCATGACCACAGCAACTCTTATAAAAGAAAACATTTAACTGGTTTAGTCCATTATCATCATGGCGGGAAGCATGGTGGTGTGCAACACAGACTTGGTACTGGAGGAGGAGCTGAGAGTTCTGCATTTGGATCCACAGGCAGCAGGAGAGACAGTGAGCCGCTGATCCTGGGCTTGAGCTTCTGAGACCTCAAAGCCCGCCCTGTAGTGATGTACTTCCTCCAAGAAAGCTGTACCTACTGCAATAAAGCCACACCTCCTAATACTGCCACTCCCTGTGGACCTATAGGGGCCATTTTTATTCAGATCACCACAGTCAACAAATGCTGAGCCACTGTGCTTCCACAGTACCATGTAGAGGGATGGGGACAGCACCATCTGTGTCCTGTTGATATGGGCAATAGCGCAAGGCCAAGGCAGCCTCACTTCCTATGCCCGGTGACTCGACTCCAGAAGAGCTGAGCCTGAGAGCAGCGTATTAGTTACTTTAATGTTACTTAGCTTAAAAAAAAAAAAAAGATCAACAGCAACTTAAGGAAGACTTTGTTTTGGCTCACAGTTCCAGAGGTGGGCAGAAGGAGGAGCTAGAGTCCATAATGACAGGGAAAGCTTGGCAGCAGGAGCAGGAAGCTGCTAGACCACATCTCAACCACACACAGGAAACAGCAAACTGGAAGCTGGGCCCAGCTATAAACTGTAAGCATCCACCCTTGGTGACAGACTTCCTCCAGCAAGGCTACGGGTCCTAAAAGTTCCAAAACCTTCCAAACAGTGAGGTATTTAAATACATGAGCCTATGGACATAGTTCTCATTCAAACCACGAACAGCAGGGCAGTTTGGGCCTGGCAGACGGAGATGGTAGTAAATGGTAGGTGGGTGTGTAATGTAGGTTATATTGCTAGATTGTTACGTGATGAAAAGTTGGCTATGAAAGTGAGGTATCCTCCCAGCTCCTTAATTTCAGACTCAAGTGTGTTTCTATTAAGTGTCTTCCAAGAATCCTCCTCTGGAGATAGCCAGGCCCATCTAACTCTTGACAAAACAATGGA